GCGAGAGTGGCTGTAGCCCTGAGCGGCCCCTGACATGACTGGGGGATCTGAGCCGCGGTCCCGCTCTGTGTCCCACGCAGCCAGAGCAATGGGCCTGGCCCCTGGCAGGTCCTCGGGGCCAATGACTGTGAGAAGTCACCAACACCCCCCCGGTCATGGGTCCCCAAGAGGGCGGCCTGGTACTCAGTGTAAGTAGACAGAAGGACAGCGAGGTTTGGTGGTGACCAAGGAGTCACTTTTTACAGGCGCCTGTTCTAGGATAACAAGCTAGGCCGGACTCGGCGGCGCAGCCTGTAAACTTTGGGAGGCCAAGGCGAGAGGACTGCCTGAGTCCGCAGGTTCGAGACCCGCCTGGGCAACTAGGCGAGACCTCGTCTCTACAATAAATCAAAACTAGCTGGGCATGGTAGCGCGCGCCTGCAGTTCCGGCTACTTGGAAGGCTGAGGCGGATGGATCGCCGGAGCCCAGCAGGTCGAGGCTGCGGTGGCCGGGAGCGGCCACTGCACTCCAGACTGGGCGACAGAGTGAGACCAACTCAAAAAAAAAAGAATGGAGAACTGGGAGAAGGTGGCAATGGCCAGCAGTGTGCCCAGGGCCCCTCCTCCAAGGACCTACCACAGTTGCCAAGGGAGGTTGTGCTGTTGGCCCCAGCAGGTGATTCCTCACCCAGGAACCTCTGACTGGCCTTGTGTCCAGACATAGACACTCCTCTCTTGCCAGCTGCATCCAAAACCTTCAGGCTGGCCCCAACCACTGCCTGGATGCCTGCCTACAGCTGCTCACCCTATATGAAACCTTGGAACACGAAGACTGAAATGCAAGCAGCCGGCTGGGGAGTCAGGATAGGGACTGTGTGGGGATTTGTGGCCAGGGATGGAGCTTTGGGCCTCACTCCCAAAAAGTAGGGAACTGCATTCAAAAGGCAATTCTGTCCCAGTGCGGTAGCTCATGCCTGTAATCCCAGTACTTTGGGAAGCAGAGGATCACTTGAGGGCAGGAGTTAGAAATGAGCCTGAGCCGGGCTCAGTGGCTCAGCCTGTAATCTCAGCGCTCTGGGAGGCTGAGGTGAGTGGATTGCCTGAGCCCGCGGGTTCGAGACTTGCCTGGGCAACTTGGCAAGACCTCATCTCTACAATAAATCAAAAATTATCCGGGCGTGGTAGCGCACGCCTGTAGTTCCAGCTACTTGGAAGGCTGAGGCGGAAGGATCGCCGGAGCCCAGCAGGTCGAGGCTGCGGTGACCGGGAGCGGCCACTGCACTCCAGTCTGGGCGACAGAGTGAGACTCCAACTCAAAAAAAAAAGAAATGAGCCTGGACAACAAAGCCTGACCCCATCTCTACAAAAAAAAATTTTTTTTAGAGTCTGAGTTTCAATCTGTCTCCCAGGGTGGAGGGCAATGACAAACTCACGGCCACCGCAGCCTTGACTTGCTGGGCCCAGGTAATCTTTCCACCTCAACCTTCCAAGTAGGTGGAACTACAGGCACATGCCAACATACCTGGGTAATTTTTTGATTTATTGTAGAGACAAAGTCTCGCCATGTTGCTCAGGCTGGTTTCAAACTCCTGAGCTCAGACAATTCTCTCGCGTCTGCCTCCCAAAATTGCTAGGATTACAGATCTGAGCCACCACACTCAGTTTACAAAAAAAAATTTTTAATTATTTTT